AAACGGATGACCATGGATTCCAAAGTTCTCCAAATTTCTAAGGGCAACTGCAAATTGCAAAATCAAATTTTCCATGGAAAAATACATTTTAGAATATTTTGTGCTTCCAATTTGCTGGAAATGCCTCCATGAAGACATAGTTTGACAAATTGCATGTGGAAGAGCTCAATGGAGCCCTGGCCTTAAAGTGTTACTAAACCCAGGGGCCTGCATTCACTATATCTGGTATCCCCAGACCTTGCATTCACTATATCCGCTCTCCCCGGACCCCGCATTCCTATATATCTGCTCTCCCCAGACCCCACATTCACTATATCTGGTCTCCCCGGACCCTGCATTCACTATATCCGCTCTCCCAGGACCCCGCATTCACTATATCTGCTCTCCCAGGACCCTGCATTCACTATATCTGGTCTCCCCAGACCCTGCAGTCACTATATCCGCTCTCCCCGGAGCCCGCATTCACTAAATCCGCTCTCCCCGGACCCCGCATTCACTATATCTGCTCTCCCCGGACCCCGCATTCACTATATCCGCTCTCCACGGACCCCGCATTCACTATATCCGCTCTCCCCGGACCCCGCATTCACTATATCCGCTCTCCCCGGACCCCGCAGTCACTATATCTGCTCTCCCCGGACCCCGCAGTCACTATATCCGCTCTCCCCGGACCCCGCATTCACTATATCCGCTCTCCCCGGACCCTGCATTCACTATATCCGCTCTCCCAGGACCCCGCAGTCACTATATCTGCTCTCCCAGGACCCCGCATTTACTATATCTCCTCTCCCAGGACCCTGCATTCACTATATCTGGTCTCCCCAGACCCTGCAGTCACTACATCCGCTCTCCCAGGACCCCGCATTTACTATATCCGCTCTCCCTGGACCCTGCATTCACTATATCCGCTCTCCCCGGACCCTGCAGTCACTATATCCGCTCTCCCAGGACCCCGCATTCACTATATCCGCTCTCCCCCCGAACCCTGTATTCTCTATAACCGCTCTACCTGGATCCTGCATTCCCTATATCCGCTCTCCCCTGACTCAGCATTCCCTATATCCACTCTCCCCGGACCCTGAATTACCTATATCTGCTCTCCCCGGACCCTGCATTCACTATATCTGATCTCCCGGACCCTGCATTCACTATATCTGCTCTCTCACTATATCCGCTCTCCCTGGACCCTGCATTCACTAAATCGCTCTCCCCGAACCCCACATTCACTATATCTGCTCTCCCCGGACCCCACGTTCACTATATCCGCTCTCCCCAGACCCCGCATTCACTATATCCAGTCTCCCCGGACCCTGCATTCACTATATCCGCTCTCCCCGGACCCTGCATTCACTATATCCACTCTCCCCGGACCCTGCATTCACTATATCCACTCTCCCCGGACCCTGCATTCACTATATCTGCTCCCCCGGACCCTGAATTCACTATATCAGTTCTCCACAGACCCGGCATTCACTATATCCGCTCTCTATGCACCCTGCATTCACTATCTCCGCTCTCCCCAGACCCTGCATTCACTATATCCGGTCTCCCACATTACACAGAACATGGAAGTGCAATTATTTTAGTAAATATAAACTGCTAAATACTTTTTCTCATCAGCAGCTAGAGCAGTCTTATGACTTCTATCAGTGTCCAGCAGAACAGTGGTTAAAGCTTGTAGGAGGAGTTTCCATTCTCCCCTATGAGGATGCAGAACCCCTGACCTCTGTCTGGACAGTGCTGATTGGCCCTGTGCTGATCACATGCACCCTCCCAAAAAAAAAGAGAAACACTCTCTAGCAGTACACACCATGCTTTACTGCACATACAGACTGATTTTACTGTTGTGGGTTTAGTAACACTTTAGCCGTACTGAACACCTTTGACGTGAACTAAAATACCAATTATGAACCAGATCTTCTAGTCCAACGTCTCACAAATGATCTTTTGGCTGAATGGAAAATTCTCACAATGGAAAAACCAAATGAAAAGTTGAGATTCTGAATGGTGCTCAGTGGTCCTAGCTGCAACATAGCTCCTTGGCCTCCTCACAACAATGACAAGGCGGCACCTGGGGCTGTGCCCTTGTATAGTGCTCTGTGGCTATTAAAACAGTATACTTTGGTCTGAACAGCACCACAATGCAGAGCCCAGTTCCAGAAGGTCACATTCCAGGCAATCGTCCAGTCCAGAGTGGTCCAGGTGTGGCACTCCAAAGTCAGGCTCAGGAACGGCCAATCCAGATAGCTGCATATAGAGACCAACACAGCAGAGATGTAGCAGAAATCTTGATTGAAGAAAAAAAAAGGAGTAGCTAGTAAAAGGTTAGCCTTTCCCTAAGCAGAGCTGAGAAAAGGAGTCCATCTTCTTATGACAGTGGTCTCCAAACTGTGGCCGGGGGGCCCTTTGCTTGCTTTTATCTAGCCCATGGGGCACTATTACATTCACTGATACCAATTGTGTATAATTCCCCCCACTTACACCAATGAAGGGGACTCAATTCCTTCCAATGACACCAACGATGGGGCACAATTCCTCCCAGTGACAGAATTAATAGGGACCAATGACATCAATGGTGGGGCACAATTCCTCCCAGTGACAAAATTAATAGGGTCCAATGACATCAATGATGGGGCACAATTCTTCCCAATGACAAAATTAATAGGGTCCAATGATATCAATGATGGGGCACAATTCCTCTCAGTGACAACATTAATAGGTTCCAATGACACCAACAATGGGGCACAATTCTTCCCAGTGACAAAATTAATAGGGTCCAATGACATCAATGATGGGGCACAATTCCTCCCAGTGACATTAATAGGGTCCAATGACACCAACAATGGGGCACAATTCTTCCCAGTGACAAAATTAATAGGGTCCAATGACATCAATGATGGGGCACAATTCCCCCCCAGTGGCACAAATGATAGGGTCCAATGACATGGGGCACAATTCCTCCCAGTGACACAAATGATAGGGTCCAATGACATGGGGCACAATTCCTCCCAGTGACACAAATGATAGGGTCCAATGACATCAATGACAAAATTAATAGGGTCCAATGACATCAATGATGGGGCACAATTCCTCCCAGTGACAACATTAATAAAGTCCAATGACATCAATGATGGGGCACAATTCCCCCCAGTGGGGGGGGGGGGGGGCAAAATTCTTCCCAGTGACAAAATTAATAGGGTCCAATGACATCAATGATGGGGCACAATTCCCCCCCAGTGACACAAATGATAGGGTCCAATGACATGGGGCACAATTCCTCCCAGTGACACAAATGATAGGGTCCAATGACATCAATGACAACATTAATAGGGTCCAATGACATCAATGATGGGGCACAATTCCTCCCAGTGACAACATTAATAAGGTCCAATGACATCAATGATGGGGCACAATTCCCCCCAGTGACACAAATGATAGGGTCCAATGACACCAACGATGGGGCACTATTCCTCCCAGTGACACAAATGATAGGGTCCAATGACATCAATGATGGGGCACAATTCCCCCCCCAGTGACACAAATGATAGGGTCTAATGACATGGGGCACAATTCCCCCCAGTGACACAAATGATAGGGTCCAATGACACCAACGATGGGGCACTATTCCTCCCAGTGACACAAATGATAGGGTCCAATGACATCAATGATGGGGCACAATTCCCCCCCAGTGGCACAAATGATAGGGTCCAATGACATGGGGCACAATTCCTCCCAGTGACACAAATGATAGGGTCCAATGACATGGGGCATAATTCCCCCCAGTGACACAAATGATAGGGTCCAATGACATCAATGACAAAATTAATAGGGTCCAATGACATCAATGATGGGGCACAATTCCTCCCAGTGACAACATTAATAAGGTCCAATGACACCAATAATGGGAGCACAATTCTTCCCAGTGACAAAATTAATAGGATACAATGACATCAATGATGGGGCACAATTCCCCCCAGTGACACAAATGATAGGGTCCAATGACATCAATGATGGGGCACAATTCCTCCCAGTGACACATATGATAGGGTCCAATGACATCAATGATAAAATTAACAGGGTCCAATGACATCAATGATGGGGCACATTTCCTCCCAGTGACACAAATGATAGGGTTCAATGACATCAATGAAGGGGGACAATTCCTCCCAGTGACACCAAACAAAAGGACATTATATTTTTTTCCCACTAACGTCGGGACCTTTTCTACTCCCACTGGCCGCAGTCCCGCCCTTGTAAAGTCTAAAGGACAGTAAACTGGCCCTTTGTTTAGAAAGTTTGGAGACCCCCTGTCCTATGACACTAGCAAAGAAAAAAAAAAAAAAAAAACTGAGGCATGCTGAGAGCAAAGGGGTTATGCTTGCCTGGCCCCCCATTCTTCTGTTTTCCAGTCTCTAATTCTCACAGACACACTCTCATAGCCTTCCCAGAGGAGCAAAGGCTATTAAGGGGAGGGGGGCAACTCCAAATTACCGCCCATAATTTGCAATGGCATGCCCAATGGGTTCACATAGGTGTGATGGTCAATTGCCAATATATAGTCCACATGTAGTTCCGATTTAACATCTCTATGGATCTTCCTATCTTTGACTGTATTTAAATTTTCTCTGAGAACCCCTCCATCGCACAATACTTCAAGTACCCCTGTTATAAACTAGATGAAGTTCTCCTCTTTCAGAAAAACATTTCCCACATTCTGACGTTGATTATGGTTTCGCACCCGTACGATTCCTCTGGTTTTAGTGACAATTCCTCATTTTGAGCACGAATACAACTTCTCTCCAGTACGAAGCTTTTATTGGGTGATAATGGTGACACCATTGAGAGAAAAAAATCTCCCACATGCAGGTTCTTTCACAGTAAACAAAAGCTCAGCTTCTTGTAAAACAATATATCGGCATTGTGAACGTGAATTTGTCTCCTGCCCGGTGCGAAGACAAAAGCCGTACTTGGAGTTACCAATGAAAAAAAAAAATTCTACATTACGAACGTGAATACGGCTTCTTCCCTGCGTGAATTTTCTTATGTAATTTTAGATTGCTCTGCTGACTGAAACATTTCCCGCACTCTGAACACGCGTACGGCTTCTCCCCCGTGTGAGTTCTCATGTGCTTCACAAGACTTGAACTCCTGCTGAAACATTTCTCGCATTCTGAGCATGCGTACGGCTTCTGCCCGGTGTGAATTCTCTTATGTGATTTCAGGTTGCACTGCTGACTAAAACATTTCCCGCACTCCGAACATGTATATGGCTTCTCCCCCGTGTGAGTCCTCATGTGATTAACAAGGTTCGAACTCTTAATGAAACATTTCCCACATTCCAAACATGAATATGGCTTCTTCCCCGTGTGAAGTCTCTGGTGTCTCGAAAGATCCGTTCTCAGTGCATAAGATTTCCCACATTCTGAGCAGGAATACGGCCTTTCCCCAGTGTGGGTTTTCTGATGGGAGAGTAGTGTCCCCATATGGGTAAAACGTTTCCCGCACTCAGGACAAGGGTACGGTTTCTCAGCTGTGTGAATTCTCTGGTGGGTGGAAAGATCCAAACTCGTTGCAAAACATTTGCCGCATACAGAACACAAATATCGTTTTTTTTTCGGCTGTATGGATTTGCTGGTGAGAGAGGAGGGTTGCCTTCCGAGCAAAAAATCTTCCACATATGGTACAAGAGAACATTAAACCCCCGCTGTGATCTGCGTGTTTTGTGTCGGGAGGTGAGTGTTGGGTAAGACTCCCCCCATGTGTGGAGGGATCAGCTAACAGATCTGCGCTGGAAAGTTCTGGATGAAGATACTGGGTAATGATATTTTCGTCTGTAGAATTCTCGGTCAGGTTTTCGTTTTCTGTTTCATCACCAGGAGAGAGAACAGAATCATTCCCGATGTATCGTCCATCTAGTACAGAAAAGAGAAAGATGGGGATGAGAACACTTAAAATGTTACTAAACCCCGGAACGCACATTCACTATATCTGCTCTCCCCGGACCCTCCATTCACAATATCTGCTCTCCCCGGACCCTCCATTCACTATATCTGCTCTCCCCGGACCCTCCATTCACTATATTCGCTCTCCCCGGACCCTGCATTCACTCTATCTGCTCTCCCCGGACCCTGCCTTCACTATATCCGCTCTCCCCGGACCCTGCATTCACTATATCCGCTCTCCCCAGACCCTGCATTCACTATATCCGCTCTCCCCGGACCCTATATTCACTATATCTGGTCTCAACGGACCCTGCATTCACTATATCCGCTCTCCCCGGACCCTGCATTCACTATATCCGCTCTCCCTGGACCCTGCATTCACTATATCCACTCTCCCCAGACCCTGCACTCACTATATCCGCTCTCTCCAGACCCTGTATTCACTATATCTGGTCTCAACGGACCCTGCATTCACTATATCCGCTCTCCCCGGACCCTGCATTCACTATATCCACCCTCCCGGGCCCCACATTTACTATATCCGCTCTCCCCGGGCCCTGCATTCACTATGTCTGCACTCCCCGGGCCCCGCATTCACTATATCCACTCTCCACGGACCCTCCATTCACTATATCTGCTCTCCCCGGACCCTGCATTCACTATATCTGCTCTCCCCGGACCCTCCATTCACTATATCTGCTCTCCCCGGACCCTCCATTCACTATATCTGCTCTCCCCGGACCCTCCATTCACTATATCCGCTCTCCCCGGACCCTGCATTCACTATATCCGCTCTCCCCGGACCCTGCATTCACTATATCCGCTCTCCCCGGACCCTGCATTCACTATATCCGCTCTCTCCAGACCCTGTATTCACTATATCTGGTCTCAACGGACCCTGCATTCACTATATCCGCTCTCCCCGGACCCTGCATTCACTATATCCGCCCTCCCCCGGGCCCTGCATTCACTATATCCGCCCTCCCCGGGCCCTGCATTCACTATATCCGCCCTCCCCAGGCCCCGCATTCACTATATCCGCTCTCCTCGGGTCTCACACTCACTATATCTGCTCTTCCCGGACCCTCCATTCACTATATCTGCTCTCCCCGGACCCTGAATTCACTATGTCCGCTCTCCCAGGACCCTGCATTCACTATATCCACTCTCCCAGGACCCTGCATTCACTATATCCGCTCTCCCAGGATCCTGCATTCACCATATCTGGTATCCCACAGTACACAGAACATGGAAATGCAATTATTTTAGTAAATATAAATTGCAATATCCCTTTTCTCATCAGCAGTATATAGCAGTCTTGTGACTTCTATCAGTGTCCTGATAGCAGAGCACTGGTTAAAACTTGTAAGAATAGTTTTCATTCTCCTCTGACTGTCCTATGAGACTGCATGACCCTCTGTCTGGGCAGTGCTGATTGGCCCTGTGCCGATCACATGCACCCTCCCAAAGAAAAAAAAAAAAACTCTCTAGCCATACACACTAAACTGAGCACGAGAATTAATGGCACCCGCCCGCGGGTCTGCATTCCTCTGTGCGGGTGGTGCAGCTGCACGGATTTTTGTGCGGATCCACAGCGGCACCAGTGAACATAAATGACGTGTCCAATGATGTAAAATTAGTTTTGAATAATATTTAGTGACAAATATATGGCACTGTGGTGGGAGGGATATTTTTTTGTGCATAGAGCTGATGCCTTTGTCCAGTAATTTCATCCCAGAAGACAATCTGTGGTTTAAAAGGAAATCTCCTGCTTGTGGACTATCAGTGTACCACCAATGTTACGCATCATCCACAGACCATCTGTAAAGATCATCTAAACCCTTGACCTGATGATACACATGTAAAAACAGGTGAGGAGGATTCCTATTTCTAATAATAAAGACACAGACCTGACCAGAGGGGTGAAACACCCGGATGAGATGCATGGAGTGAAAAAAATACTTGCTCTACCTCTCCTTAACCCCTAGACAGCGAGCGTATGCAAATATGCGGCCTCTCGGCGCCTGGGCCTTGACGCCGAGTGGCCGCATAATTGTGTACCATTTGAAAATATATATGTGCTGAGAGAGCGCACCCTGCGCACTCCAAGCACGTGACTCACAGAAAGGTCTCAATCTCCCCTTGTGATCAGGACCTTTTCCGATCATGTGACAGCGAATCACGGCGGTCACATGACCCTAAAACCCCGCCCCGCCTCTCGGCTTCCGAAACTCTTAAAGGGCCAGGAAGCGCCGGCGCAAAGGGGTTAACCGCCTCCCGTCTGGCCACTGTACATACAACGTCTGGACGGGAGCAGCGCCGATGCGGGTGGACAAACACGTACGTCCTCCTGCACTGCCCGCTCTTTTGCGAACTCTCTGGAGTGTGCAGTGGCGGGATATGTGACCCACTGACCAATCACAGTGAGCACATGAACAGTAGTAAACAATGCTGTCATAGTTTAGTACTGTGTGAGCTTTGTGATTGGTCACAGCATCACAGTAGTACACAAGTCTTTTACCGATTGCTTATTACAGTGATCATCACTGTAATAAGCAATCCCAGTGTTAAAAAAAAAAAGTTCTGATCACTCCCCATAGTGGTACAGTGTCACTATGGTGACACTGCACTGCTCTGGTGACAGTACATTAAAAAAAAAAAAATTGAAATAAAATTTGTCCCTAATCACCACCACACCAGTCACAGTTTCCCTGATCGTCGCCACAGTAGTCATATTGTTCTTAATCTCCAACACATCAATACCAGTGTCCCTAATCACTGTGATGCAAGTTACAGTGTCACTGATCACCACCACACCAGTTACAGTGTCCCTGATCACCACCACACCAGTCACAGCATCCCTAATCACCGCCACACCAGCCACAGTGTCCCTGATCACCACCACACCAGTCCCACTGCCTCTGATCACCGCCACACCAGTCCCACTGCCTCTGATCAGGCTATCTAGGGGCATAAATTACGCATCTAATAGTGATCAGGGACACTGAAACTGGTGTAGTGATGATTATGGGACAATATGACTGGTGTGGCAGTGATCAGGGACATTGTAACTGGTGTGGTGGTGATCAGGGACACTGTAAGTGGTATGGTGGTGATTAGGGACAATATGATTGATCAAGGACACTGTGTCCCTGATCACCGCCACACCAGTCACAGTGTCCCTGATCACCGCCACACCAGTCCCACTGCCTCTGATCAACGCCACACCAGTCACAGGGGTATATTATTTAAAACTGGACCACTCAGAATCTGTTTCAGCTGTGCATGGTAGCTGTTTGTAGAAGTTAGAAGCTGATTGGCTACCAGTCATATTGTCCCATAATCATCACTACACCAGTTTCAGTGTCCCTGATCACTATTAGATGCGTAATTTATGCCCCTAGATAGCCTTAAGGTGCTCCTTGGAATTTGGGCCTCTCTATGTGGCTAGGCTGTGAAAAAGTGTCACGTATGTGGTACTGCCACAAAATGTGTTTTGGGGTGTGATTATAACTATGCCTATTCTGTGTATGAGAAAAAAAAATCATTTTCTTTCCTGCATTTTCCAAAAACCTTTGGTAAAAAGAGACATTTTAAAAAGATTCACTACGCTTTTTAGAAAAAAACCTTGGAGTATTTGCTTTCTAAAATGGGGTAATTCTTTGGGTGTTTCCATTGTCCTGGCCTCCAAAAATGTGATAGCTAGTCTAGAAATTAGGTGAAGGTGGTCCTTGGATTTTGAGTCCTTCTCTGTGAAAAGTCTCACATGTGTGGTATCCGCATACTCAGGAGGCATAGCAGAATGTGTTTTTGGGTGTAATTATGAGCATGCCTATGCTGTGTGTGAAAAATAACTTGTTAAAATTATAACTTTGTGAGAGAAAAAAAAGTTTTTAATTTCCAAAACATTGTGACAAATCACAACTTCAAAAAGACTCCCTTGCTAAATACACTGGACTGTCTATTTTCCAAAAAGGGATCATTGGGGGGGGGGGGGGGGTATTTGTACTGTCCTGACATTTTAGGGCCTGAAGAAATGAGATAGGCAGTCAGTACATCAGAACTGATCAATTTTTAATTTATATAGTAAAAAAAAAAAATTATTAATAATAATAATAATAATAAATATAATAATAAAATACCTAGTGGTGAATAAATACCTGCAAAAGAAAGCTCTTATCTGTCCTTAAAAATTATAAAAATTTCTCTTAGATACAGTGTTGCATGACTCAGTAATTGTCATTCAAAGTGGACAGCTCTGAAAGCTGAAATATGGCCTGGACTGGAAGGGGGTGAAAGTGTCTGGTCTTGTTAACCACTTACTGCTATAGGGAGTCACGGGTACGCAAAATCACGTATATATACATGACTTTGCATTTCCAGGTAGGGGGGAGCGAGTGAGCCACGTGTGCCCTACCCGCGCCGCCATTCGCGGCCGCAGCTGTCAATCACCGGATCCCATCCGGTAATTACTCGCCGGCGCCCGATGATTTATTAACAGTTTTGTTTACTAACAATTC